CGAGCGATGTTTCCTTGTGATGTTTCCTGTGTTTATTGTTGACTTAGGCTGTGTATAATAAATTAAATTTATAGATATTAATAATAAAGTCATCATCATTTTCGTTTCAGCGTATTTTAGTCAGCTTGACTGAAAGTATACTTACTTGACCATCATCGGTAAGTGTTCAGCACGAAGAACATTGCCGATCATTTTGTTGTAAACTGCCCGTTCCAACATTGCGTACGAAGTCAAAAACTTGTGTTTGGTCAAAGGCAAGTCGAGCCTACAACATTATAGAGTGAAGTGGCGTCTTGGGGAGTCATCTGCTTGGCTGCGAGAGTTGCGTGTGAACGTGGGCTGCATTCAACGACTAAGGGAGGCTCAAAAGTCTCCTGACTTAAGTAATGGCCGTGTTTCCTGGGAAGAAAAAATTACGTTACGAGCTAGATTGTAAAGAAGAACTAAAGATGTGATAGATACTATATTTTTTGTTGTGATTTCAATTAATTTATATTTTATCATTTTTTCTGTTGCAATTATTGTTACTAATTAGTTTATTTGAATTGGTCCCGCTGAAAGATGTTAAGTCTTGTTTCGTATCAGCGACATCGAAATTTCCCGTAATTACTAGAAGTATTTGATTGATAGTTTTCATAATGTAAACGGTAAAGTTGTCAAATCCTCAACAATTAGGTTATTTGACAAATCACGATCACGTATCAAGGAGACTAGGTGGGCCACGGAAAGCAGATTACGAGTTTTATTTCTTATTAATTTGGAGTAGCGAAGACGTTAAGGAAACCTGGTGAACCCAACGATATTAGAGAGCGAAACTGGGAAAGGAATTAGTTTTTGAAACATCATTTATAAACCAGTTTTATTTTTTTTTAAATTGAAGGAACTCAAAGGTACGATAGCAAAGCTAATGTAGCTAAAGTGAAAGTAAAAGTAAAAACAAAACACTAAATAAATTCACAGTCAGTCAAAAATAGATAATATAACAGCCTACTACAGACACCGCCACGCGAACACACTGCGGATTGGCAGAATTCACATTTATTCGAAATATTTTTTTTTTGATATTGTGGTTAGATTTCTGCTTTATCATCGCAATAGAACCCAAGACAATGATTTTTTAAATGTTTGTCTGTGCGTTTGTGCGCGCTAGTCTCAGAAAGGGCTAAACCGATTTGGGAGCAACTTTCACTAACGTGTTGTGGTAAGTTTCACTTAACATTTACTGTTAGTTTTATTTAAATCGGTTCATAAATAAAAAAAAAATATCAACTTATAGGACCACATTGAAGATTTGTGCGATAAAATGCTATATAATAGCTTCTGTTGAATTAGAAGTAACTAAAGTTAACTATATGTTATTGTCTGTAAAATTGTGATGATCGTTACTTCTATAAAGTAAAAGAAAATCGATCACCGTTCATGAGATAGCCTAGTATATAAACAGACATAGAGACAATGGAGTTTTAGTAATAGGGTCTCGTTTTACCCTTTGGGTTCGGAATCTTAAAAATGAACAATTTTGACATTTCCAAAGTACTTTGACCTCAGAACTATATCATCTGTCGTATGACATATGTAATAACCTCTAGGCTGCAGCACATAAAATCCTAAACCATCATCTGGTGCGGCGGCGGGTCAAAATGCGCACCCAATGACTTTTCCGCCAGTGCGTAGCGGAACTTTCTCGACCCACCAGCTCTGGGAAGATTAAAATGCTATAACTTTGCGTAAACAAATTTTTTGTACAGTTAGAATGACCATGAACCCAACTTCCTTAGGTACGATTCGCCCCAGATCTGCTAAACCGGAAATGAACCATGGAAAGCGTCGGGCTGATATAGACCTGTACCGCACCAGAAAGTATTTTTCGTTTTGATGGGATGGAAAAATAAGTTTTTCATTACTTGTTTTGAAAACTTACTGTGTTTCGTTAACAATTTCCTAGTCATTTCTTCCTTAAGCCCATTTAAGTTTCTTATGTAAACAATTCGATTTTTTAATATTAAAAATTATGTACTTTTCATATGGGGGGCGGTTGGGAAATACTGATCGAAATATATTTACAACTCACATAAGACTGTATACTGCTAGTCGCCTTGACAAATCGAAGAGCTGGAGTAGATCCTTGACGTTCGACACTTATGCGCTGCGAACTGAAGTTGCTTTTCCTCTAATTTCTACCTGAATAAAAAAGTATTAAAATATATGTGTACTCACCTATTAATTAATGTTAACTATTCACTTAATTTCGGCATGTCTATTTTTTATGTGAAAAGTTGCCAAACGAGCAAACGTTTCACTTGATGGTAAGTGAATACCGCCGCCCATGGACATCTGCTACACCCGAGGCTTACAGATGCGTTAACAACCTTTTGAAAATTCATTCGTGCAACAGCCGAGGCTGCTGCGTGGCCCTGCCACCGTAAAATATATAATTAAAAACATTTTCTGCATAATTATGTAAAATTTTTGTGATAAGAATTTCTAAAATTAGGGTCCCAATATCTTAAATAAATCACAATCTCAGCCAAAAACTGAAACTTACCTGACAAATACCGCATTGAAGTTCCGCCATTTATAATTTTCCTCAGTCTTCCAGTTCACTCGAATTGGCTTGGGGGATATTTGACGAGCAAGGCATATCCGTACATCCAGGGATTCGGTGAGCAGCCGCGTCACGGCTTCAAAGTCGCTAATGCAGAGTGCGGATTATGGGGATACGTGCAAACAGAGAAACATAAGCGACCATAAAGAGACGCTCCCCGATAGCCAGTGAGGGAAGCACAGAGCTCCATCATTTTGCCATCGCCCTGTGCGGTGAGCGCCCCCGCTGAACACGCGCTCCCCCCGTCTCATACAATCCCGTGTTTGCAACAATTAACTCTATTATATAAATTTTATTAAGTTAAAAAATCAAAAATTTTTACACACTACATTAAAAGCTACTTACACACTATATAACACCTTAAATTAGGTCGCGTAAATATGTCAAGACAAGAGTTTTTCAATCAAAAATATTTTTTTACTTTCATTTAGTTACTTTCAAGTCTTTGTCTTTTGGTTTCTAAATTTATAACTTAATAATGTTTAATTACATCGAAGCATGTAGTCTACATATATTTTTTTGCGGACAGTGTGTATAAGTTGCCATTATTAAGATTATTGTACTGTTTGCTGTTCTATGTACCAAATAAAAATAAAACACTTACCAAACAAAACTTCGATCTCAATCGTAATCGTAATAATATATTCACATTTTAAGAATATGAATATATTATCACTCTGCTCTCCTGTCTGGTTATCATTTCTCGTGACCCAAGAGCTGGCTCGTGCTTTGGCTTTGTTTCTTTTCATAAGTAGTTTTGGTTTTAAGTAAGCAAGCTTTATTATAGGTAAATTTTATTAATTTTATCACCTATTTAGTTTTAATTAGGTTAGATTATCATAATTTTGCAGGATACGGATAGGCACGATATTTGTAATTTTTTTATTTTAATAAATTATAGTTTATGTCAGTACGATAAATCTATTTCTAAAAGTTTACTTAGTATAGGCCGTTTGGAAAAAAATTAAGATGAAAGTAAAATTTTTAAGACGCGCGCACACCACAGCCCAAAAGCGATATGATGTAGTTGATTGCAGTGACCATCTAAACCTGCCATGCCACCATGGCAATCAATAACAACTTTTTGACATTTATCTATAGCTCCACCATTAAATACAAAACCATTATTGATTGCATTTACTGCTTTTTTTTCTCAAACACAAACACAAGAGTGTTGGCACAGGGGATAAATTATTTAGTTATTTTTCTTTAGTAGCTCTTATCGAGCGTAACGCTCAAGAAGAGCTTGTTCCGTGCGTACGTAAGTAAACATATTTTTATAAAAACGCTTTGCTGACTTACGTATTTGTGTCTATTTGTAACTTTTAAAGCTGTAAAGAAGAACGAGATCAAGATATATTTGTACACATTTATTGAATGTTTAAACAACAACTACCCTTCAAACATTAGCACTTAAAGTAACAGCCAATATCATGAGGAGGTCCAATCTAAAATAAACACTCCGCTGATGTTTACCAGCTACTCTTAATTCGGAAATTTTCCCTTAGGCATACCCAAAACGTGTATTAATTTTCTTATTAGTAAACACAGGAATACACTTAGTAATTCTATCTTAAATCTAACACAAATAGTATGAATAGCAAAGGAGAAATAGGCAAAGGGATATATTGTAGCTTCATTGTAAACAACATCCAAATATTACCTGTATATATATATGAAGAATAGCTTGCCAAACACTTACTTGACAAATAGTGTGGAACGAATTTTGTGCGAATGACCGTATCATATTTAAGACACGGTGTTTGCGGCTAATTGTCAGGATTAATTAAATTCAACCAGGCCATGATCTGCAGCCACGTGTAGACTGCATTAAATGACGTAGATCCAAAGCTAAACATGTCAAAAATCACTAAAGCTATAAACATTTAGATTATTGTTTAAGTATATTAGAAGCTTTTGACACAATGATATTGATTAAGTACCTACTCTTGTATGAAATTAATGAATCATTTAATATTAAAACATAAACCACAAATTCTTTGATTTTTCATATTATAGCTAAGGTTAAAATCGTACATTAATTGTCTATCGATTACATTTAAATATTGATTTTATATAGTTTTTGAAACAACTGACAGTCATTTAATACAAACATTTTAGGTACATTTAATATTAATTTGAAAAAAAAAAATTGAAGTAAGGATCGTGAAGTGTTTAAATAAATCAATATTTATAGACGAACACTAATTCAAAAATCGTAGTAATCAATAAATAAACAGAAAATATCTTGTATGATACATTAATTTAACATTATCTGAATAATAGTGTCATTTCAAAGTCTTCTGATATATTTCTCTTCTGATATAGTCGTCTCAAGATATATTTCTGTTCATTGTCAACTTGATGTCGCATTTTTTTCAAGAAACTTTTTTTAATTGTTGCTGGTGTTTCGTGCCAGCGCTGCGGTGTACACACGGATCATTATATCGCGCTCGGGCGATGGTTCTATGTCATCATTCCTGTGTAATAAAATATTAATATTAATGATAAAGCCATCATCTTTATCGTTTCAGCGTATTTTAGTCAGCCTACCTGAAAATATTCTTACCTGACCGTCATCAGTAATTCTTCAGCACGTTGTATATTGCCGAGAGTTTTGTAGCAAATTGCCTTTTCCAACATCGCGTACGAAGCCAGAAACTTGTGGTTGGTCAAAGTCTGGCTGAGCCTGCAACATAATAGAGTGAAGTGAGATTTCGGAAAGTTTAGAGAGATAAATAGTACTTTGTATATTTTAAGACGTAATTTGAAAACTGAATAATTGTACAAATGTTAAAGCGCATTATTACTATGTGAGACAAATTACCAATACTCGCCGCTAATTGATATTTTTTGAATAAAAAAACATGGCAATCGAGACTCGATCGAAAATATATGGTATATTGGAATATGTAGTTAGATGGTAACGATTAGGTATACAGAAATAAACATCTACCCGCAACTTTAATACTTTACAGTATAAAGTTAAAAATCTTAGTGAGGATAATAATAATGTAAACTGTTACTTACTTGATAACGCAACGCAGGTTCATTATAGCTGGTATAGTTAGACCCATATTACTCAGGCAACATCCTGTTAGGTAGAACAAACAAGCCCTCTTTTCCCTCAGATTAGCCGGCGGAGGTTCTTCATTGTTGAGCATGTTTTCGAATGTAAGGGCCAACTATAAAATGAAAGAAATGTCTGAATCAGAGACGGGAATCAATTTCAATTTTCGCTATTGAACATGTTCATTATATATATTTATATGTAATTGCAAATATTGTGCCCGTTTGAAAGTCCGGGTGGTTGTTTTATCACCCACAGGCCGACATATGGTATACGATCAGTGAGGTTTTAAAATAAATTATCGCAAATAACAAAATTTTCTTGTGTGAACTATTAATTTCAATGTTACCTTGAGCATTTTGTAAGTGCTGTCAAAGTCTGATAAGCGAGCGCACACTGTGATCCACATGTAGAGCAGGGGAATGGCTGGCACCAGTAGACGACATCCCGGAATCTCGTAATGGGCAATGCCGTTGATGATGTTATCCGGCTCATTCACTGGTATTCCAACTAGTCTCTTTACATACTCAATAACGGACCTGAGTAAAAATAAATGGTTGAAGTTAACATGTAACTGTTTATAAGATTGTTGCTATTATCACATATTGTTTTTGTTTTTATATTTGTGAATTATAAAAGTTTCATTTTCCACCTTCCTTAATCAATGAACAATTGTTAAAATATCAGTGAGTGTTTTTTTGTGACTAAATGAATAGGTAAGTTTAATTGTTGTAAATAGTTTTTCTTTGGTGGATTGGATGGATTCCACTTTTTAAATACGCCATAATAAGTACGAACGTCAATACGTTCAGTTGTCTTTTTCTTGAAGACGCGCGCTATTTCATAATATGAAGATAACTTGCACGCAAACAAAGTAAAGGATAAATACGGTAGCGTACTTACGCATTAGCCCACGTGATTTCCCAGGAGCATAAGCTTGACACCTCCCTCATTAAATCCTCCATGTCATCAGCGTGGTGGTACGCAGCTGACGCGACAGCGCAGCGTTTGATGAGGCATAGTAAGCGTGATGGGTCCAGTAAGGTGTATTTCCCTTCACGAGCAACCTACCAAGCAAGACTGGGTGACTAGTACTAATTCACATAAATCATAAATAAGCGACGAGATAAGAATCTTGGAATGGTACAAGATTCGTCCTCTTTTTACACCCCTTTACAGTGGTACCAAATAAATAAATAGATTAATTTGGTATGACGATATTGTCATAAAATTTGATTGACCTGTTTTTTATTATAACTGTCGTAAAAACAGTCGAAATTTTCCTACCTTCCCTGTGCATATTGAAGGAAGGAGAATGTCGTAAAAGCGTGAAGATAGCATCTTAGCTAAATTGTCGTAATCCCTCAGGCCATCATTCAGACCGTCGATAAATATATCTTTAAATTCTTCTCTGAGCCAATTTTTTCTTTCGTAGATTTTAATACATTTTCTGTAAAAAACGAAATCGAAGTCATCTAAGGTAGAAAATGACATCTATGATTTATAATGAAATATTTATAAAGTTTATTTATAAGACTTTTATTAGTTTTTGATTTGATTAAGAATGGGTAAAACTTTATCATTGAACTTTGCACGTAGAAAATAATGTTGGATTTGTATTTATTAAAAAGATTCTACACAGATGGGACATTTGAGAATCAAACTATAAATCTAAAGAAATTTCTCTATGACTCACTTGAAATGATAGAAGCATTTGTCGGATTGCACAGCGGCATGCAGGAATTCACCCATATCCTTCGTAAAACGAAGGATCCGAACCACCTTAAAAAGCTTGGTCGTTGCATCAAATATCTCCATCTGCGCTTCGGAGTCTGACATTTGAAAAATTGCCATTTTCAGCTATAACACAAATTACAATTAGTGCAATTACAAGTACCGAAGAGTGTTTTTGCGAAGTGCATTGTTATGACTATTAATTGTTTCTATTTTCTCTTTTCCTGAGAATACTTACGTTGCTTCCCCTCTGTGGTCTTTGGTGACTTTGCTGTCGCTTCAAAATTTTGCGGTCTATGGAATGGGCAATAGCTGTCATTTTATCGGTATTTAGGTGAATGGTGGGCGTCAACCTGCCCTCTGCATATTTCGCCAAGCTAACGAAATGTTCGCTGCTTTCCCTGGGAGGCAATTCAACAAAAGTTTCTAATTATATACCGTAAAATGGAAAATAAAAATAAGATTCAATAGGACGTCCTAATACAAACACTAACACGTAACGACCAAAGAGTAAAGCTTGTCCAACATTATTCCGAGAATATCCCGAACCACAGCCTGAGCGAAATCAGAATGACTTTTGACTATCTTGAGAATGGCAACCATCAGGAGTGAACGAGTCATCTTGAATCGCCGTGCCTCCAGAATCTACAAATTCTAGTCACTTAGACAAGCCGGAATCCGAAAAGGCGTTAGTACCATAGACTGCCTAATCATTCTGGCCAGATTAAACAGAAGGCCGAAGAGTATTATCAGCCATTATGCATAGCCTTCGTGGCCTATGAGAAAGCCTGCGATTGTGTCAAAATTTTGGCGATACTCCAAGCCCTACCAGCCTAATATTAATATTTTATGAGAAGAATTTTATGATTTTATGAAGCAGTGATCACGCTAAGAGGCACCTTGATCACTGCCAGTTTTCACCTTCACGAAAAATGTGTTATATGCCATTTGTTCGTCATAATGAAGTTCAACTCGTTTTTTAGAGAATCATCGGAGCTAATCCAGGTCCACTTCCTGTGGGGCTACTTTTTGAAGAAAGCATTTATACTGGGAGTCTTTTTAAAAAGTGCCCAAATTTTCACAGGAGGTTCGGACACGGTAGTATAATCGTATATAGAAATAAAAAAATTTTTTTTTCAAAAAAAATTGCCATTCTTTGCCCTAAACAACAGAAGTAGTTGACAATACGGTAGTCATTCATAAATACCTAAAATTTACTGTGCACGCGCACAAACAAAACTAAGCGTTCACGATAAATCGGAGACTACCCGTGCCGGGTTGTCTCCGCCGGCAAAACTTCGTTCTCTTCCCTCCAACTGCAAGCGGTGACCGCTCTATGCAGCGTGACCTAATTAAGGTCACACGTGCTATTTTTAGATTTGCTTATCTCTAACGATATCGAAACAACAACGCAGTTATTAGAACCGCGAGTATTACGAGATGGTACGGTGCTACATTTTAAGTGGTGAAAGTTTACGTGGTGCGCAAAGACTTTATGAAAGTGACTCTTTACCGCGTTTAAAAAGACAGGCAATGAACTCAAGTACACCTAATCGAAGGGCGATTTTGGCAGCCAACCAAAGGTAATTAGATTTTGGACAATTTACTACACCGGCGTATACAATGCTCAGACACAAGTAATATTAAAAATAGTTTGAGAAAGCGTGCTCACCTTTGTATTGAGAGAATTGGACTCCATTTTGAACAATTGTTAAAAACACTCACTGAGAGTGTTTTTTTGTAACTAAATGAATAGGTAAGTTTAATTGTTGTAAATAGTTTTTCTTTGGTGGATTGGATGGATTCCACTTTTTAAATACGCCATAATAAGTACGAACAATAGTGTGTGATTTTAAAATAATCGTGTTTTAGTATTATGACAACCCTTTATTATGAAGGTCCTAAGCTCGTTCTAAGTATGAAGAAAATTGTAGCGTGTAGTAACAAACTTTAGTTGTGTGCGTGTTACAATTTAGATAGATAGGTGTCGACTTTTATGCGTCGAATACTTTGGAAACGAACTTGTGTGCGTGTTAGTTATGAATGAATGTGCATAAATTAAACGAGTCGTGTATAAGTTACGCACTTTTTGAGATAAGTTCAAATGAATGTTATTAAGTACTTACGAGTGATTTTAAATATTTATTATTTTTTATAATTCTTTATTTATGTCTAGCATTTAAATAAAAAAATGGATACACTTAGAAAAACCTCCCTGTATAGAAGAGTCTCTCGTTCTCTATAAAGTCAGTAAGCTGCTGCCCTTCTTCCTACGGCTCGTGATATATCCTTATGCATTGCCTCCATCACATCATCTGGCTTGGTAGCTGATACGTATCCAAAGATATTATATAAAAATATTAAAAATAATTGTTCGTAGTCAATACTATTTTTCAACAATTCAAAATATCATACAAATTTTCTATCAATCAACTGCAAATATCTACGCACATTTTATATAATAATTTTACCCACGATATAATATTAACGTAAGATAATGTAAAAATTATTATCTAATTATTTTCTTTTTATAATATTAATATAAGAAATCATCAAAATGTCGATGCGAAGTTTTTGATGATTTGTAACATTGCGTTTTAAAGACGTTTCGGATAGGCGGCTTATCTACTGTTAACTCGAGATAGAAAACACCTGTCTTTGATATTAGGGCGGATTCTGAAGATAGATAACCAAATACTAACGATCTAGGATAGGAAAGCTGTTTTCCCAGATCTTTAAAAAGACGGTAATTTGACCTATTTTTAAATGTGGGGATAGGAACCATGTCGAAAATTACAAGCCCATTTCTATACTTCCTGCTTTGTCAAAAATTCTAGAAAAAATCATTAACTAGATTCATTACTTTTTTAGAAAGTCACAAAATGTTATCGGCAAATCATTTTGGCTTTAGAAAGAACGCCTAAACGGCTGATGAGGTTCATAATTTAATAGAATATATATCTAAAAATTTAGACAAAAGCAAAAAATGGACAGTTTTCCTTGATCTAGCAAAAGCTTTTGACACTGTATCATCTCCAATTTTATTATCAAAGCTTGAATCAATAGGGATCCCAGGAATTCAATTATCATTACTACGAAGCTACTTAACAGGAAGAACACAATGCGTAAAGATCGATAATTATATCTGTTGTGAACTGCCCATTAACTACGGTGTGCCAAAAGGTAATAATATTGGGCCCCAATCTGTTTCTAGTATACACGACTGACCTCCGTAATCTTCAAAACGGCGGTATTTTCTCGTACACAGACGATACGGAAATTGTTTTAAGGTCTAATACATGGTCAGATTATTATCGATTTGCTGGCTTTGATAAAGTTATTCTTTGGTTATATAGAAATTTGCTGACCTTAAACATTGCAAAAAACAAGATTGTAAACTTTTCTATGCCTAATTCAAAATTATAATACCAAAATATAATCAGCAAGTAGTTGTGAAACCATTGTTTGCCCGATGCGTTAGTTACAATATAACTTCAGAAATGCCTATAGAAAAGGTCTCTTCTGCTGTATATTTAGGAATAGTTATTGATGCTAAACTCACTTTTAAAGAGCATGTTCTCAGTTTGTCAAACAAAGTACGTAAACTATTATATCTTTTTAATTCAATCTGCAGACAAAGAAATATTAAGAATAGTGCGAACCTTGCTTTCTGCCAATCGATACTAAATTGTCATCAAATCATGGGAGTGGCACTGCTACTTCAGACCCATCTAATTCAAATTGAACGATCACAAAGAGCGATACTTAGGGTATGTTTTTTTAAGCCCCGTCTTTATCCTACAAATTCTATGAACAATGTCAAATATTAACGGTAAGACAGCTCCTCATAATGTCTCTAACCCTTTAACAACACTCTCTAACATATTATTCACAAGAGCTAACGCGACGAAACTGTTTTTGTCATAGGTTTTTTTTTTATCTTGCTGGGTCCATATCTGTACAATAAATTAAAAAAGAAATTCTTTTTATACGCTTTAAACAATTACCGTGTCAGACAGGTTCTTCAGCAATATCTTCTTAAGCAAACGTATGCTGATACGGAACAACAGTTGGAGGTTAGGATATAAGTGTTTATAAAATATAATAAATATATGAAATTCTCGTGTCACGGTGTTCCTAATTGAACTCCTCCGAAACTGCTCGACCGATTTTCGTGAAATTTTGTGTGCATATCGACTAGGGTGGAGTATCGGATAACATCTATTTTTCATCACCCTAAATGTTAACCCCAAACATTTTTTTATTTTATATGGCAAAATAACGTTTGCCGGGTAGGCTAGTATTATATAAATATTGTACAGAACTATAATAATCATCATATATTTTCCGATCCATCGATAAAATTGATCCAGTAGATCTATTTTATCGGTGTTTTTGAAATACGATCGTTGAATAATTGTGATAGCACTGTTTGTGACCGTAGCATCTTAGACATACCAGTTCTTATTGCACTTATGGTTCAATATTTGCTATAATGGTTTACACATAAACGACATATATGCTATCATGGGCTTTACTGTAGGACTGCTTAACATAAACTTTCCCATTATACATTTTATACGAGTAACTCTAACGGGTTTTGCAGAGCATACCAGAAAAGCTCGCACATGACAGAAAATTTTCGAAATTACTTTACACTTGTAGTAAGATTTTGGAAAATTCACACAATGTCCGATTCTCCACCCTGGCCGATATGCACACAAAATTCCACGAAATTCGGTCGAGCCGTTTCGGAGGACTTCAATTACAAACACCGTGACACTAGAAATTTACATATTAGATTATTATAATAATAATATGGAGATAACTTACATCAGTGTTAGAATCTTCAACGCCATCGTGAGGTCCTTGCGAAAAAAGGCCGAGACTGCGTCCTTGGACTTCAACAATCTTTCGCGGATCTCCCTCTTGAGGCTGAGGGAAAAATTAAAAATTATTAAAGTTGTTACTTCAACTTAGCGAGTACTAATCTTTGTTCATATTACTTATTAACTTCTTTTTCGTCATTAATATTTCTTAATGGTTTAGGATCGAACGTAATCAAAGAAATTAATCTATTCGGAGATATTAAAATGACGCATCATGAAATTTTTTTAAATTCTATTTGGCTCAGTTTGTGTACATTCAATGCAACTAGCATATTTTGTTAAAAACTCATATTTGTTGATAATTTGAACAAAACACACGACCTAACGATTTAAATTTATTTTTTTAATATAACAAAACTACTATTTGTGAACTTAATATAAAAGTTCGACATGTGCTGTCGCTGATTTTTTTGTAGGTATTAACAAGCTCTACAACTTTTCTCTAAAACTCAATCATTTACTCGTATCTCTCACCGTTCAGGCAGCGTCCGAAAGACGTTTCCGTTCGATCGTTTTTCCTCCGAATTTTTGCAAATCCGACTACCACGAAAAAGCCTTTTTGTTATTCGGGTTAATATATAGCCTATGACACTCACAAAATACTGGCTAAATATAGCTTTTTATTGGTTTAAAGAATTTTAAAATTGGTTCAGTGGATTACCGCCTACAACGTCACAAACTTTACCTCTTTATGAATTAATAAATACTAGCTGCTGCCCGAAACTACGTCTGCGTAGAATAGGCCGAAGGCGTAACATTCGGACAGATATACATAAAAAGTGTATATAAATTATAGCCTATGTCTTATTCTGATGTATAAGCTACATTATTGTATAGATTCATTAAAATCCATTCAGTAGTATTTGCGTGAAAGAATAACAAACATCCATCCATACATACAAACTTTCGCGTTTATAATATTAGTAAGGATAATAAATAATAAGTACGGATTTAGGACACATTTCTACACACCGTTCTATGGTTCTAAACTAAGCAACTCCTGTAACATGGGTAATAGATAACTGATAAAAATACTTTAACAAACTTTTCTTTTGTAAACAAATACATACCGAATATAAATATGTTAACACTCAGAAACTCGAAAAACAACATGTTCATAACACAAATATGTTTCCAGTAGTGCGGATCGAACCCACACTCCCTCTGGCGCATGTGGCAGGGGCACTATCCACTACGCCAATCGTCAAATTTATAATATCAAGGTATAGATAAATGAATAGTCATTAGTTCCCAAATGAATCACAGTTACTTTACCGTGAGTTCATCTTGCACGTTCTGTTTATTAAATCACACGCGCCGTGATTGGTTTCCTATGTGAGATTTTTTAATTACGTTAAAAACTTTACCTACGCTAAAGGAAAACACTTGCCGTTCTCTTTTTCTCATTGCTTTAATTACGTTATCCTTTTTATAACCATTGACATTTGCGTGAGAAAGTTTTGATTAAGAATAGATGATTGTGTTATCACTGTGTTTGGAACGGTTATGTAGTAAGGGTATAACATATCTATGACATAACAAAAAGCCAAGGGCGAGTCGCTTAGGTAATAATAAAATATTTTTTTATTGTTTTTTTTACCATTTGTTATTATAGCGGCAACAGAAATACATCATCTGTGAAAATTTCAACTGTCTTACATTCACGGTTCATGAGATACCGCCTGGTGACGGACGGACAGACAGCAAGATAGACAGTAGAGTATTATTGATAGGCTCCTGTTTTACCCTTTGGGAAGCGTAAAAATCATTTTTGAATCGGGTATATATTTTATAACAGACTCATAAAATTATTAGTTAATTTTCACTGGGTAATTTCCTTCCTATTCCTTGACACTAAAACTCATAGATAAACATAAAAACGAAAGGAGAATATTTTGAATTAAAATATCAAAAGCTGCTGCTGTAGATTTCGTTACATTAATAATGTTTTCCAAAACGACTTTTTCGTTATTACCAAAAAGAGGTTACGTTTCTTCCCATAAGGTTTTTTAAGTTTCATTTGTTACCAGAAGTTGTTAAAGTTCAACTTCGCTATATTTGAGACACTATATTCACTGGAGAATCACGCCCTGAGAATATCGACAGCTTAGTTCAGTAGACTGGAGGCGTCAAAACGATATTAAGTTCATGTTATAGTAGCAATATACAGCGTGTCGCTACCACCGCGACAATAAATGAACACACGTCTAACGCTACTTGCCAATAATCATAAAGAAATTTAAAAGGCTAAAAAAACCGTAACTAAAAAAATATATTTTTAAAATTAATTAAATAAAAATGATTGAAAATTTTTGACATCCTGTTACAGCTACAACTATCTAAATAAAATAGTTTTATGTAAATGTTTTTTTTTTTTTAATGGGAATAGGAGGCAAACGAGCATGCGGGTCACCTGGTGATAAGCGATCACCGCCGCCCATTCAACATCGGTTGAGACGCAATTGCGTTGCCGACCTTTAAGGTACGAAAAGGAAATGCGGTCTGGAAATACCGCTCGCGACAACTCGTTCCACAAAGTAGTTGTGCGGGGTAGAAAATATTATTTGTATTATTCGTATTTAATTTGTATCTGTTTCTTCTGCATAGTGACCACCAAGTGCAGTAGATACCACGTCCTCAGCGACCTTTCCGGGCCTAACGCTACTTCGGCGTATCCGCTTTGAATGAGGTTTTGTTTGTATGCAATTTATAGCTTATATTGTTTATTGCCCTTCATAAGTTTTTCTAGATTGACGAAGTTTAATTAATATGTGTTTCCAAGATTTCTACATACTTTCGGGTGTAGTTTATTTATCACATAACAGGCCGCAATTTCTCGTTGAGAATCTTCATGTTCAAGATAATCTTAGAAAGCAACAACAGTAAATTTTAGTAGGTAATGCATGCATGAAAATTACAGTGCGAAATACTAGACTTATAAATGTAACAATATCTTAACACCAACTATATCATCCTCTAGTCAATTGTCATTACTCTGCCTTTTTTAAGCATTCATGTTCATTTTAACACTAGCTATCTGGACAGACGTCGTTCTTTTTTTTATATAGTATGCGGGATAATTTATCCAGCAAACTGAATATGCATCGCACACATATAGTATTAAAACCTTTCGTGGACTTTGAGGAACATACATCAAAATAAATTAGCCGAACTGGTTCAACCATTCTTGAGTTTTGCGCTTACCAACATACATTGGCTTCGCACGGGTGCAATGCTGAATGTTTTCTTTTGTGTGAAAAGTTGCCAAGGAGCAGACGGTTCACCTGATGTTAAGTGAATACAGCCGCCCATAGACATCTGCTACACCCGAGGGTTCCAGATGCGTTGACAACCTTTTGAAAATTGGGCTCCGGCTCACCCACCAGACGAAACGCAAAAGTATTATACTCCCAATTTACGCTGGTCTTCTGTGAGGCCGTGGTACTTACCCGGACGAGCCTGTCCATTCGTGCAACAGCCGAGGCTGCTGCGTGACCCTACCACCGTAAAAGAGACTTGCGAATGTAACAAAATTGTAACACCAACTTTATCTTCCTCTAGCCAATTTTCACTACTCTGCCTTTTTAGCATTCATATTCATTTTAACATTACAATTTTTTTTTATTTTGTTAAGGCCAAAGACTACTAATAAATAACAACAGGAAAGTTAACACGAATCACGATCAATATGGTTGACACAAGTCAAAATACTATTTTCTTTTAATTTTTAGTGTTTATCATTCAAATTTCACCATTTTTCTACAAAATTGCAACATTATGTTCAATAAAGACATTTTAGTTATAGGAAGTTTATCAAACGATTATGAATAAAGATTTTTATCGAACGTTTAATACGCTTTAACTAATATAGGTTTATATCTATCGATAAGCGTTTAATTATGAATAAGACAGATAACAACTTTTCACATAAAAAAAGTCTAGAACTTCGCACCGTAATTTTTATGCACGCATTACCTACTAAAATTTACTGTTTTTGCTTTCGAATATTATCTTGCAAGATTTATTTGGTAAAGGAGTGAGTTCTTGTTATCTAAAACCGGCGAAAAAAACTCCGACACGATCTCCAATGCAACGAAGGTGGCGGCGTGGAATGATTTAAAAGAAGTCATTACAAACGTCAGTAATCAGGTCACCAAAATCGTCCAAGTTTTTCACTAATATAAGTTTATCGAAGGTTTATGTTAAAGGTTTATGTATACCCGTTACAGTAGGGTCCCGGCTTGTTTATTTCAAAGACACTCTATCGGAGAGTTATGGAACGTTTTAGCGTAATAGAACGATAATGAATAAGACTTTTTGACAATCGGTTTTAGTGAGCTTTTAAACCACCGATAACTTATTATGATAAGACCGTATGTAGTTAATAGTGTTATTATTGTAATCCTTGATCAACAAGTTCCTTTTGCCAAAAATTGTGTAATATCACAGAAAATTATGGTTTTGGTTTCATTCTATTCGTAATGGCGCCTAGAAAAAACTTTCAGGTTCAGGACATAAGGGACTCGCAAAAATTGTAAAAGTTATTGCCATTTTAATTTAAAAAAATACGGTTTGGTTGTTTACATTTATTTCTAAAACAATTTGAGATATCCAAAATTTTAAAAGAGATCCTTAAAGAGGAGAAAATTTCCTAAAAAGGTCCTACCATCCCGAACCTTGTCGACAATGTTTTTAATTTTTAATTAACGGTGTTAATGGGCCCAGAAACGGGTAGCAGTGCGTGCACGCGCGTCGACCGAATCTATAGCATGATTGAAAAACCGGCCAATTGTGTATCAGGCGCGCACGAGGTACTATAAAACTATAAAAATATATTCCCATACCCAGATAATTCTCATTGTCCACTTATATATATTTTTATTGCGTTTAGTATTTGTTATAGCGGCAACAGAAATACCAAGAACTAAACACATCAACAGAAATCATCTGTGATAATTTCATCTGACTCACTAGACAGGCAGACAGGCCTTAGTAAAAGGGTATCGTTTTACCTTTTGGGTACGAAACACTAAAAAATATTTTAAA